GACAGAGGGTGAGACCCCCTGCGACCCCTGCAATGAGGGGGGACCCCCAAAATACACAGGGGTTGGGGGGGAAACCCAAAATCCAGGGGGGGATCCCGAAATCTGGGGGGATCCCAAAAATACAGAGGATGAGGGAAGTGGGAGTCTGAGGAGAAGAAAAGACCCCAAAATGTAGTGGAGACCCCCTGTGACCCCTGGAATGAGGAGGGGAGCCACAAAATACAGAGGGGTTGGGAGGGGAACCCCAAAATCCGGGGGGAAAAAGAGGGAGGCACCCCAAAAAATAACAAGATTGGGAGTAGTGGGAGTTCAGGGAGAGGAAAAGGAGAGGTTTTGGGGTAATTTGGGGGGTTTTGGGGTTCTCAACGATCAGGTTTTGGGGGTGGTTTTGGGGGTGGGTTCTGGGGGGTCTCACCCATGATCTTGGCGGCCGTGGAGGCCCCGAGGATGAGGGAGAGGTTGGGGGCGATGAAGGACATCCGGGACTCGACGTACTCGTAGATCCTGAGCTTGGCCCCGCTCAGGGCCAGGGCCATGTCGCAGGCGTCCTCGATCCGGCTCAGCTCCTCCTCCGACAGCTGCTGCCTGCCATCGGTGAGGAGACAGGGATGGGATTAGGAAATGTGAGGGGAAAAGGGCGGGAAACGTGAGGGGAAAAGGGAGGGAAAGGTGAGGGGAAAAGGAGGGAAAGGTGAGGGGAAAAGGGAGGGAAACGTGAGGGGAAAAGGGAGGGAAACGTGAGGGGAAAAGGGAGGGAAAGGTGAGGGGGAAAGGGAGAGAAATGTGAGGGGAAAATGGAGGGAAAGGTGAGGGGGAAAGGGAGGGAAATGTGAGGGGAAAAGGGCGGGAAACGTGAGGGGAAAAGGGAGGGAAAGGTGAGGGGGAAAGGGAGGGAAAGGTGAGGGAAAAATGGAAGGAATTTTGAGGGGAAAATGGGGGGAAAGGTGAGAGAAAAATGGAAGGAATTTTGAGGGGAAAACATAAGGAATTTTGAGGGGAAAATGGAGAGAAACGTGAGGGGAAAATGGACGGAATTTTGAGGGGAAAGTGGCAGAAATTTTGAGGGGAAAATAAAGAAAAACATGAGGGGAAAATGGAGGGAAATGTGAGAGAAAATGGAGGGAAATGTGAGAGGAAAATGGAAGGAATTTTGAGGGGAAAGTGGCAGGAATTTTAAAGGAAAAATGGAGGGAAAGGTGAGGGGAAAATGAAGGGAAATGTGAAGGGAAAATGGAGGGAAATGTGAGGGGAAAATGGAGGGAAATGTGAAGGGAAAATGGAGGGAAATGTGAGGGGAAAATGGAGGGAAATGTGAGGGGAAAAAGGAGGGAAAGGTGAGGGGAAGAAAACGTCCCCCCCATTATTTGTGGCCCCCCTGACCCCTGGGTGGTGGAGGCCGTCACGCTGACCACCATGATGGTGGCGTTGGTCAGGATCTGCTGCACGTTCTCGTTGTTCTTGCACTTGTCCAGGGAATTCCCCAGTTCCTGAGAGGAACCCCCAAAATTAGAGAGGGAAAAAAGGGTGGGTGACACCCCTACCCTAAGGAACAGGCGTGATTTGGGTGGTCCCAGGTGGGATTTGGGGGTCCCAGGGGAGTTTTCAGGGTGTTTTGGGGGTCCCAGGTGAGTTTTGGGGGTCCCAGGGGAGTTTTCAGGGTGTTTAGGGGGTCCCAGGTGAGTTTTGAGGGTCCCAGGGGAGTTTTCAGGGTGTTTTGGGGGTCCCAGGGGAGTTTTGAGGGTGTTTTGGGGGTCCCAGGGCAGTTTTGGGGGTCCCAGGGGAGTTTTGAGGGTGTTTTGGGGGGTCCCAGGTGAGTTTTGGGGGTCCCAGGGGGTGTTTTAGGGGTCCCAGGGGTTGTTGAGGGGGTCCCAGGGGATGTTTTGGGGGTCCAAGAAAGTGTTTTGGAGGGTCCCAGGTGAGTTTTGAAAGTGGTTTGGGGGTCCCAGGGGATATTTAGGGGGTCACAGGGGGTGTTTCGGGGGTCCCAGGTGAGTTCTGAGAGTGTTTTGGGGGTCCCAGGTGAGTTTTGAGGGTGCCAGGGGGTGTTTTGGGGGGTCCCAGGTGAGTTTGGGGGGTCCCAGATGAGTTTGAGGGTGCCAGGGAGTGTTTCGGGGGGTCCCAGGGGGTGTTTTGGGGGTCCCAGGTAAGTTTTGAGGGTCCCAGGTGAGTTTTGAGGGTCCCAGGGGGTGTTTTGGGGGTCCCAGGTGAGTTTTGGGGGGGTCCCAGGTGAGTTTTGAGGGTCCCAGGAGGTGTTTGGGGGGGTCCCAGATGAGTTTTGAGGGTTCCAGGGGGTGTTTTGGGGGTCTCAGGTGAGTTTTGAGGGTCCCAGGAGGTGTTTGGGGGGTCTCAGGTGAGTTTTGAGGGTCCCAGGAGATGTTTTGGGGGTGTTTGGGGGGTCCCAGCCCACCTTGACCGTCCGGATGTAATCCAGCGCGTTGGGCACCAGCGACTCCAGCTCCGGGAACCTCTTGGAATATTTGTCCCGGATGAACTTGTGGATGATGTCTGGGGAGAAGGGGAGGGGAAAATGGGGGTCCCAAAATCCACCTCAGCCCCCTGAACCCCCCAAAAAACACCCCCAGGCCCCCCCAGGATCCCCCCTGCCCGGGGCTCACTCAGCTCGTTCTCGATCTCCACCGTCAGGTTGTTGGCGTCGACGATCACTCGGTACTCGGGGGCCGCCTCCACCGGGCCCAAAACTGCCCAAAAACGGCGGAAATCGACCCAAAATTCCCTTGGGAAACCCAGCATTCCCTAAATCCTCCCTGGGACCCTCTGAATCCCACCCAGGATTCCCTAAATCCCACCTGGGACCCCCTGAATCCCATCCAGGATTCCCTAAATCCCCCCTGGGACCCCCTGAATCCCACCCAGGATTCCCTAAATCCTGCCAGGGACCCCCTGAATCCCACCCAGGATTCCCTAAATCCCCCCTGGGACCCCGTGAATCCCACCCAGGATTCCCTAAATCCCCAGGGACCCCTGAATCCCACCAGGATTCCCTAAATCCCCCTGGGACCCCTGAATCCTGGGACCTAATCCCACCCAGGATTCCCTAAATCCTGCCAGGGAACCCCCTGAATCCCACCCAGGATTCCCTAAATCCCCCCTGGGACCCCTGAGATCCTGACCCAGGATTCCCTAGGACCCCCCTGAATCCCACCCAGGATTCCCTAAATCCCCCCTGGGACCCCGTGAATCCCACCCAGGATTCCCTAAATCCTCCCAGGAACCCCCTGAATCCCACCCAGGATTCCCTAAATCCCCCCTGGGACCTCCCTGAGACTCCCACCCAGGATTCCCTAAATCCCACCTGGGACCCCTGAATCCCACCAGGATTCCCTAAATCCCCCTGATGGACCATCCTGAGATCCCACCCAGGATTCCCTAAATCCCACCTGGGACCCCCTGAATCCCACCCAGCATTCCCTAAATCCTCCCAGGGACCCCCTGAATCCCACCCAGGATTCCCTAAATCCCCCCTGGGACCTCCTGAATCCCACCCAGGATTCCCTAAATCCACCCCCAGGACCCCCAAATCCCACCCAGGATTCCCTAAATCCCCCTGGGACCCCTGAATCCCACCCAGGATTCCCTAAATCCCCAGGGACCCCCAGAATCCCACCCAGGATTCCCTAAATCCCACCTGGGACCCCCTGAATCCCATCCAGGATTCCCTAAATCCCACCTGGGACCCCCTGAATCCCACCCAGGATTCCCTAAATCCGCCCCCAGGACCCCCCCAAATCCCACCCAAGCGGATATTTCGGAGCTGCCTCCACTGGGCCCCAAAACTGCCCAAAAATGGGAAATCGACCCAAAATTCCCTTGGGAAATCCTCAACCCCCAGGATCCCCCCAAATCCTCACAGAGAACCCCAAAACCCCAACTGAGACCCCCAAAAACCCACCTGGGACCCTCCCCCCTCAAAAAAACCCCTCCCAAATCCTCACCAGGACTCCTCAAAATTCCCCCAGGGACCCCAAATCCCACCCCAGACCCCAAAATCTTCCCCCAAATTCTCCCCAAATCCCACAGAGCCCCCAAAACTCCTCTAATCCCCCAGGACCCCAAAATCCCTCAATGACCCCCTCAAAGCCCACCCCAGACCCCAAAATCCCCTCAATGACCCCCCAAAACCCACCCCAGACCCCAAATGCCCCCAAAATTCTCCCCCAAATCCCACCCAAGACCCCAAAACCTTCCCCAAATTCTCCCCAAATCCCACCAGAATCCCCCAAAACTCCTCTTATCCTTCCCAGGACCCCAAAATTCCCCAATGACCCCCAAAACCCACCCCAGACCCCAAAATGCCCCCAAAATTTCCCCCAAAGGGACCCCCAAATCCCATCCGAGACCCAAAATCTTCCCCCAAATTCTCCCAAATCCCACCCAGAACCCCCAAAACTCCTCTAATGCCCCCAGACCCCAAAATCCTCTCAATGACCCCCCAAAACCCACCTGAGACCCCAAAATCTTCCCCAAAACCCACCCAGAGCCCCCAAAACTCCTCTAATCCCCCAGGACCCCCAAAATCCCTCAATGACCCCCAAAACCCACCCCAGACCCCAAAATCCCCTCAATGACCCCCAAAACCCACCCCAGACCCCAAAATGCCCCCAAAATTTCCCCCAAGGGACCCCCAAATCCCACTCTGAGACCCCCAAAACCTTCCCCCAAATCCCACTCCAGAACCCCCAAAACTCCTCTAATGCCCCCAGACCCCAAAATCCCTCAACGACCCCCCAAAACCCAATCCAGACCCCAAAATGCCCCCTAAAATTCCCCCCAAAATTCTTCCCCCAAATCCCACCCGAGACCCCAAAACCTTCCCCCAAATTCTCCTCAAATCCCACTCCAGAGCCCCCAAAACTCCTCTAATCCCCCCAGGACCCCCAAAATCCCTCAATGACCCCCAAACCCATCCCAGACCCAAAATCCCCCAAAATTCCCCAAATCCCCCTCAAAACCCACCCCAGACCCCCAAACCTTCCCCCAAATCCCACCCAGAACCCCCAAAACTCCTCTAATGCTCCCCGGACCCCCAAAATCCCTCAATGACTCCCCAAATCCCACCCGAGACCCCAAAATCTTCCCCAAATCCCACTCCAGAACCCCCAAAACTCCTCTAATCCCCCCAGGACCCCAAAATCCCTCAACGACCCCCAAAACCCACTCCAAAATTCCTCGAAATGCCCCCCAAATCCCCCTTTTTGGGGCAGTTCCGGGGATTTGGGTGGAGCAGTTGTGGGGGTGGGGAGGGAGGAGGGACCCTGATTTTGGGGGTTTGGGGATTTTTGGGGGTTTTTGGGGTTTTTGGGGTCACCTTCAGCAGCTTTGGGCTGTTTGCTGATGTACTCCTCGATCTTCTGCATGATCTCCACAAACTGGGGGAAAACAGACCCAAAATTGGCAGATTTAGCCCCAAAAATTGGGGGGCAAAACCCAAATTTGGGGAGGAAAACCCCAAAATGGGATTTTTGGGGGGTTGTTTGGCCTTGAGGGGAGGGGGGTCAGTGGGAATTTGGGGGTCCTGGAGGGGGTTTGGGGAGTTTTGGGGGATTTTGAGGGGGTGGGGGTTGGGAGGGTTTTGGGGGGTTGGAGGGGATTTGAAGTTGGTTTTGGGGTGGGTTTGGGGTGGGGTTTGGGGTGGGTTTGGGGGTATTTTTGGGTTGGGTTTTGAGGGTGGGTTTGGGATGTTTTTAGGGTTTTTTTGGGGTGGTTTTGGGGGTTTTTTTGGGCTGGGTTTTGGGGTAGGTTTGAGAGTGGTTTTAGGTTGCATTTTGAGGATGGTTTTAGGGTTGTTTTTGGGATGGTTTTGTGGTGGGGTTTGAGGTGGGGTTTGGGTTGTTTTTGGGGGGGGGTTGGGTTTTTTTGGGGGGCTGGGTTTTGGGGTGTTTTTGTGCTGGTTTTGGGGTAGGTTTGAGAGTATTTTTAGGTTGCATTTTAAGGATGGTTTTAGGGTTGTTTTTGGGGTGGTTTTGGGGTGGGGTTTGGGGTGGGTTTGGAGGTATTTTTGGGTTGGGGTTTGAGGGTGGGTTTGGGATGTTTTTAGGGGTTTTTGGGGTGGTTTGGGGCTTTTTTTGGGCTGGGTTTTGGGGTGTTTTTGTGCTGGTTTTGGGGTAGGTTTGAGAGTATTTTTAGGTTGCATTTTGAGGATGGTTTTAGGGTTGTTTTTGGGGTGGTTTTGTGGCGGGGTTTGGGGTGGGTTTTGGGTTGTTTTTGGTGGGGGTTTGGGGTTTTTGGGGGCTGGGTTTCGGGGTGTTTTTGTGCTGGTTTTGGGGTAGGTTTGGGGGTATTTTTGGGGTGGGTTTTGAGAGTGGGTTTGGGGATATTTGGGGGTGGTTTTGGGGTGAGTTTTAGTGGTTTTTTTTTTTTGGGTAGGTTTTGAGGTGTTTTTAGGGGGGGTTTTGGGGTACTTTTGGGGTGGGGTTTGAGGTGTTTTTGGGGTGGGTTTTGGGGTATTTTTGGGGTGGGTTTTGGGGTGCTTTTGGGGAGGGGGTTGGGGTAGTTCTGGGGTGGTTTTAGAGTGGATTTGGAGTGGCACTTGCAGCAATTTTGGGATGGGTTTTTGGGGTGTTTTTGGGGGTGTTTTGGGGAATATTCTGGGGATATTTTGGGGTTTTTTGGGGGATATTTAGGGATATTTTGGGGATATTTTAAGTATATTTTGGGGAAATTTTGGTGATATTCTGGGGATATTTTGGGGATATTTTAAGAATATTCTGAGGATGTTTTGGGGATATTTTGGGGATATTCTAGGGATATTTAGGGGATATTTTAGGGATATTTTGGGGATATTTAGGGGATATTTTGGGGGTATTCTGGGGATATTTTGGGAATATTCTGGGGATATTTTGGGGATATTTTAGGGATATTTTGGGGATATTTTGGGGATATTTTGGTGATATTTTGGGGATATTCTGGGGACATTTTGGGGTTACTTTGGGGATATTTTGGGAATATTTTGGCGTTATTCTGGGGATATTTTGAGGATATTTTGGTGATATTTTCAGGATATTTTGGGGTGTTTTTGGGTCATTTTGGGACATTTCTGACCGCTCTGCTGCCCCATAACTTGGCGATGCTGCGCACGGACTCGCTGCCCTCGGGGGGTTTGGGGGGGGTTTTGGGGGATATTTAGGGGATATTTTGGGGGTATTTTTGGGATATTTTGGGGATATTTTGGGGATATTTTGAGGATATTTTGGGGATATTTTGAGGATATTTTGGGGGTGTTTTTGGCGATACTTAGGGGATATTTAGGGGATATTTTGGGGGTATTTTAGGGATATTTTGGGGATATTTTCAGGATATTTTTGGGGATATTTAGGGATACTTTGGGGCATTTCTGACCGCTCTGCTGCCCCACAGTTTGGCGATGCTGCGCACGGACTCGCTGCCTCGGGGATCGAGGGAGTTTTGGGGTAGGTTTGGGGATATTTAGGGGATATTTTGGGGATATTTTAAGTATATTTTGGGGATATTTTGAGGATATTTTGGGGATATTCTGGGGATATTTTCAGGGTATTTTTGGGGTGTTTTTGGGGTGTTTTGGGTTGTCTCCTGAGCACTCTGCTGCCCACAGTTTGGCGATGCTACGCGCGGACTCGCACCCTCGGGGGGTTTGGGGGGTTTTGGAGGATATTTAGGGATATTTTGGGGTATATTGGGAGATATTTTGAGTGATATTTTGGGGGTGTTTTTGGGGGGTGTTTAGGGTGTTTTGGGGACATTTCTGACCGCTCTGCTGCCCCACAGTTTTGGCGATATCTGCGCCTCGGATTTCGCTGCCCTCGGGGGTCCGGGGATTTTTGGGGTGGGTTTTGGGGGGATATGTTGAGATATTCTGGTGATATTTTGGGGATATTTGAGATATTTTGGGTATATTTTGGAGGATATTTTTGGAGTGTTTTAGGGTGTTTAGGGGCATTTCTGGCCGCTCTGCTGCCCACAGTTTGACAATGCTGCGCACTGGCTTCGCTAGCCCTCGAGGGTTGGGGGTTGTTTTCTGGGGGGATATTTAGGGGATATTTTGAGGATATTTTGGATGATATTTTGAGGATATTTTAGGGGATATTTTAGGATTTTGGTGATACTTAGGGGATGGCTGGGATATTTTGGGAATATTCTGGGAATATTTTGGGGATATTTGGACATTTTGGGATATTCTGGGGATATTTGGAGATATTTTGGGGATATTCTGGGGATATTTTGGGGATATTTTGGGGATATTTTGGGCTAGGGGATATTTTCAGGATATTTTAGGGATATTTTGGGGTGTATTTGGGTCATTTTGGGGTCATTTCTGACCGCTCTGCTGCCCCATAACTTGGCGATGCTGCGCACGGACTCGCTGCCCTCGGGGGTTTGGGGGTTTTGGGGATATTTGGGGATATTTTGGGGATATTTTGGGGATATTTTGGGGATATTTTGGGGATATTTTGAGGATATTTTGGGGATATTTTGAGGATATTTTGGGGGTGTTTTTGGCGATACTTAGGGGATATTTAGGGGATATTTTGGTGATATTTTGGGTATATTCTGGGGATATTTTGGGGATATTTTCAGGATATTTTTGGGGATATTTAGGGATACTTTGGGGCATTTCTGACCGCTCTGCTGCCCCACAGTTTGGCGATGCTGCGCACGGACTCGCTGCCCTCGGGGGTCCGGGGGGGGTTTTTGGGGTGGGTTTTTGGGGATATTTAGGGGATATTTTGGGGATATTTTAAGTATATTTTGGGGATATTTTGGGGATATTTTGGGGATATTCTGGGGATATTTTCAGGATATTTTTGGGGTGTTTTTGGGGTGTTTTGGGTTGTCTCTGACCGCTCTGCTGCCCCACAGTTTGGCGATGCTACGCACGGACTCGCTGCCCTCGGGAGTTTAGGGGGGGGTTTTGGGGGATATTTAGGGGATATTTTGGGTATATTTAGGGGATATTTTGGTGATATTTTGGGGGTGTTTTTGGGGTGTTTTTGGGGTGTTTTGGGGCATTTCTGACCGCTCTGCTGCCCCACAGTTTGGCGATGCTGCGCACGGACTCGCTGCCCTCGGGGGTCCGGGGGGGATTTTTGGGGTGGGTTTTGGGGGATATTTTGGGGATATTCTGGTGATATTTTGGGGATATTTTGAGAATATTTTGGGTATATTTTGGGGATATTTTTGGGGTGTTTTTGGGGTGTTTTGGGGCATTTCTGACCGCTCTGCTGCCCCACAGTTTGGCAATGCTGCGCACGGACTCGCTGCCCTCGGGGGGTTCGGGGGTTGTTTTTGGGGGATATTTAGGGGATATTTTGAGGATATTTTGGATGATATTTTGAGGATATTTTGGGGATATTTTGGTGATACTTAGGGGATATTTTGGTGATATTTTGGGGATATTTAGGGGATATTTTGGGGACATTTTGGTGATATTCTGGGGATATTTCGGGGGATATTTGGGGGATATTCTGGGGATATTTTGGGGATATTTTGGGGATATTCTGGGGATATTTTCAGGATATTTTCAGGATATTTTCAGGGTATTTAGGGATATTTTGGGTCGTTTCTGACCGCTCTGCTGCCCCACAGTTTGGCGATGCTGCGCACGGACTCGCTGCCCTCGGGGGGTGATTTTTGGGGTATTTCAGGGGGTTTTGGGGTCAGGGTTTTTAGGGGGGTTTTAGGGGGTTTTAGGGGTGTTTTTGGGGGTATTTAGGGATATTTTGGGGCATTTCTGACCGCTCTGCTGCCCCATAACTTGGCGATGCTGCGCACGGACTCGCTGCCCTCAGGGGGTCCGGGGGGGATTTTTGGGGTGGGTTTTGGGGGATATTTTGGTGACATTCTGGGGATATTTTGGGGATGTTTTTGGGGATATTTAGGGATATTTTGGGGCATTTCTGACCGCTCTGCTGCCCCAGAGTTTGGCGATGCTGCGCACGGACTCGCTGCCCTCGGGGGGTGGTTTTTGGGGTATTTCAGGGGGTTTTGGGGTCAGGGTTTTTAGGGGGGTTTTAGGGATATTTTTGGGGATATTTTGGGTCATTTTGGGGCATTTCTGACCGCTCTGCTGCCCCATAACTTGGCGATGCTGCGCACGGACTCGCTGCCCTCGGGGGGTTTGGGGGATATTTTGGGGGTGGTTTTGGTGATATTTTGGGGATATTTTGGTGATATTCTGGGGATATTTTCAGGATATTTTTGGGTCATTTTGGGGCATTTCTGACCGCTCTGCTGCCCCACAGTTTGGCGATGCTGCGCACGGACTCGCTGCCCTCGGGGGGTGGTTTTTGGGGTATTTCAGGGGGTTTTGGGGTCAGGGTTTTTAGGGGGGTTTTAGGGATATTTTTGGGGATATTTTGGGTCATTTTGGGGCATTTCTGACCGCTCTGCTGCCCCATAACTTGGCGATGCTGCGCACGGACTCGCTGCCCTCGGGGGGTTTGGGGGATATTTTGGGGGATATTTTGAGGATATTTTGGGGATATTTTGAGGATATTTTGGGGATATTTTGGGGATATTTTTGGGGGTATTTAGGGATATTTTGGGGATGGTTTTGGGAATATTTAGGGATATTTTGGGGCATTTCTGACCGCTCTGCTGCCCCATAACTTGGCGATGCTGCGCACGGACTCGCTGCCCTCCGGGGTCCGGGGCTCGTCCCGCACGTCCTCGATGGGCGGCTCCTCTCCCCCCTCGGAGCCTTCGGCCTCGGCCTCCTCCTCCTCCTCAGCCTCCTCCAGGTCCGCCAGCAGCTCGTCAGCCAGGGACATGGCTCACTGGGAGCACTGGGAGCACTGGGAGAGAGCACAGACCCCACTGGGAGAGAGTACAGAGCCCCCAGAGACCCCCCCAGTCAGGGACATGGCTAACTGGGAGCACTGGGAGCACTGGGACACAAACTGGGAGCACTGGGAGAGAGCACAGAGCACCCCCAGTCAGGGACATGGCTAACTGGGAGCACTGGGAGCACTGGGACACAAACTGGGAGAGAGCACAGAGCACCCCCAGTCAGGGACATGGCTAACTGGGAGCACTGGGAGCACTGGGAGAGAGCACAGACCCCCCAGAGACCCCCCCAGTCAGGGACATCGCAAACTGGGAGCACTGGGAGCACTGGGAGAGAGCACAGACCCCACTGGGAGCACTGGGAGAGAGCACAGAGCACCCCCAGTCAGGGACATGGCTAACTGGGAGCACTGGGAGGGAAACTGGGTGCACTGGGAGGGATCACAGACCCCCCAGATCCCCCCCAAATCTCCCCATCTCCCCCATCTCCCCATCCCCCCCAAATTCCCCCATCCCAAATTCACCTCCCGCTCCCGTCGCGCTCTCGGTGACGTCACTTCCTCCTCCGCCGGGTCCCTCTCCGTGACGTCACCACCGCGCGACCCCTCCCCGGTTCCGCTCCCCCTCCCTCCCCCCAAAGCGGGGCCGCCACCGGGCCCGGCCGAGTGACGTCATCGGGGCGGTGAGTGACGTCATAGGGAGGGAGGGGGCGATAGCGGGGGTGGGGGACTGGGATGGACTGGGAGGGACTGGGAGAGGGAATTGGGGGCACTGGGAGAGACTGGGGGGACTGGGAGAAACTGGGAGAGACGGGGGAAACTGGGAGCACTGGGAGGACTGGGGAGGACTGGGAAGGACTGGGAGAGACAAGGGGACTGGGAGGGACTGGGAGGGACTGGGGGACTGGGAGGATTGGGGCACTGGGATGGGACTGGGAGGGACTGGGAGAGGGATTGGGGGCACTGGGATGGGACTGGGGGACTGGGGGGATTGGGGGAAACTGGGAGAGGGAACTGGGGGCACTGGGAGGAGATTGGGGAGCACTGGGATGGGACTGGGAGGGGATTGGGGGAAACTGGGAGCACTGGGAGGGGTATTGGCGGGCACTGGGAGGGACTGGGAGCACTGGGAGGGACTGGGAGAGGAAACTGGGGCACTTTGCCCCCGACCCCATTTTGGTGTCATTTGGGGGTTTGGGGGTTCAGGTGCCATTGGAGGGTTTTGGGTTCTGACCCCCTTCCCAGGCATGGCGGGGTGTCACTTGGGGGGGTTTTTGGGGGTTTTGGGGTTCCAGACCCCTGACTTCTTCCCCAGGCATGGCAGGGGTGTCACTTGGGGGTTTTGGGGTTCCAGGACCCCTGACCCCGAGGTGTAATTTTGGGGGTTTTTGGGGTTCCAGGGTGTCCCTGACCCCCTTTCCCCCAGGCATGGCGGAGGTGTCACTTGGGGGGTTTGGGGTTCCAGGACCCCCTGACCCCCGAGAGGGTGTAATTTGGGGGTTTTGGGTTCCAGGAGTTGTCATTTGAGGGGTTTTTTGGGGTTCCAGGCCCCACTGACCCCCAGAGTGCCATTGAGGGGGTTTGGGTCCTGGCCCCTGCCCCCCCCAGGCGTGGCGGGGTGTCGTTCGAGGAGTTCTCGGCCCCCGGGCGGGCTGGCGCTGGAGCCCCTTTTGGGGGACCATCCTGGAGAGCGAGGGGAGCCCGAGGGGCTGCCTCCGCCCTCCCCAGCCCCGCCCCTGCCGCGGGGGCTCCAGGGGAGGGGAGAGGAGGGCGCGGGGAGGGGCCCGAGGGGCGGAGCTGAGGAGGAGGAGGATGAAGGTGCAGGCCCTGGGACGGAGGTGCCGCGAGATCAGGCAGGTGGGCTCCCCCAAAAAACCCCCAAAATATCCTGGGACACCCCAAAAACCCTGGGAAACACTCCCAAAATATCCTGGGAAACACCCCCAAAAATATCCTGGGACACCCCCCTAAAATATCCTGGGGACACGCCCAAAATTACTGGGACACCCCCAGGGACACCCCCAAAATATCCTGGGAACACCCCAAAATATCCCGGGACACCCCAAAAATATCCTGGGACACCCCAAAAATCCCAGGAAACACCCCAAAAATCCTGGGAAACACCTCCAAAAATACCCTGGGAAACCCCCCTAAAATATCCTGGGACACCCCCAAAAATATCCTGGGAAACATCCCCAAAAATATCCTGGGGACACCCCCCAAAAATATCCTGGGAAACACCCCCAAAAATCCTGGGGAACACCCCCAAAAATATCCTGGGAAACACCCCCAAAAATATCCTGGGGACACCCCCAAAATATCCTGGGAAACATCCCCAAAATATCCTGGGAACACCCCCAAAAATATCCCAGGAAACATCCCCCAAAATATCCTGGGACACCCCCAAAATATCCTGGGGACACTCCCAAAATATCCTGGGAAACACCCCCCAAATATCCTGGGAAACACCCCCAAAAATATCCTGGGACACCCCCAAAAAATACTGGGACACCCCCAAAAAATACTGGGACACCCCCAAAAATATCCTGGGACACCCCCAAAAAATACTGGGACACCCCCAAAATATCCTGGGAAACACCCCCAAAATTACTGGGACACCCCAAAATATCCTGGGAAACACCCCCAAAATATCCTGGGACACCCCCAAAAATATCCTGGGAAACACCCCAAAATATCCTGGGGACACCCCCAAAATATCCTGGGGATACCCCCTGAAAAATCTCAGGGACACCCCCAAAACTCCTGGGACACCCCCAAAAATATCCTGGGAAACACCCCCAGGGACACCCCCCAAAAATCCTGGGAAACAGCCCCAAAATATCCTGGGAAACAGCCCCAAAAAATCCTGGGGATACCCCCCGAAAAATCTCAGGGACACCCCCAAAAATATCCTGGGAAACACCCCCAAAAATATCCTGGGAAACACCACCAAAAATATCCTGGGAAACACTCCAGGGACACCCCCAAAAATCCCAGGAAACACCCCCAAAAAGTCCTGTTGTTTTGGCTCCACCCCCTGTTTTTAGCCCCGCCCCCATCCCTTAACCCCGCCCCTTTTGTCTGGCCCCGCCCCCTCAGGTGTGTCCTGTCCTGTCCCCTCCCCCCCCAGGTGAACGAGCGGGCCCTGCAGAGGCTGCGGCAGGTGCAGAGACTGACCCGGAGACTGCAGAGGGAGCGCAGGTGACACCTGGGGGACACACCTGGGACACTGAAACACACCTGGGGACACACCTGGGGACATTGGGGACACACCTGGGACACACCTGGGGACACACCTGGGACACTGAAACACACCTGGGACACACCTGGGACACTGAGATACACCTGGGACACACCTGGGACACACCTGGGGACACACCTGGGACACACCTGGGGACACTGAAACACACCTGGGACACACCTGGGACACACCTGGGACACACCTGGGGACATTGGGGACACACCTGGGACACACCTGGGGACACACCTGGGACACACCTGGGGACACACCTGGGGACACACCTGGGGACATTGGGGACACCCCTGTGCAGGTGCAGAGACTGACCCGGAGACTGCAGAGGGAGCGCAGGTGACACCTGGGGACACACCTGGGACACCAAAACACACCTGGGACACACCTGGGACACACCTGGGACACACCTGGGGACATTGGGGACACACCTGGGACACACCTGGGGACACACCTGGGACACTGAAACACACCTGGGGACATTGGGGACACACCTGTGCAGGTGCAGAGACTGACCCGGAGACTGCAGAGAGAGCGCAGGTGACACACCTGGGACACACCTGGGGACACACCTGGGACACACCTGGGACATGGGGACACACCTGGGACACACCTGGGACACACCTGGGACACTGAAACACACCTGGGGACACACCTGGGACATTGGGGACACCCCTGTGCAGGTGCAGAGACTGACCCGGAGACTGCAGAGAGAGCGCAGGTGACACCTGGGGGACACCTGGGGGACACCTGGGACACACCTGGGGACAGGGGACACACCTGGGACACACCTGGGGTACCTGGGACACACCTGGGGACATTGGGGACACACCTGGGACACACCTGGGACACACCTGGGGACATTGGGGACACCCCTGTGCAGGTGCAGAGACTGACCCAGAGACTGCAGAGAGAGCGCAGGTGACACCTGGGGGACACACCTGGGACACACCTGGGACACACCTGGGACACACCTGGGACACACCTGGGGACACACCTGGGACACACCTGGGACACACCTGGGACACTGAAACACACCTGGGACACACCTGGGACACTGAAACACACCTGGGACACACCTGGGACACACCTGGGGACACACCTGGGACACACGTGGGACACACCTGGGACATTGGGGACACACCTGGGGACACACCTGGGACACACCTGGGACATTGGGGACACACCTGTGCAGGTGCAGAGACTGACCCGGAGACTGCAGAGAGAGCGCAGGTGACACCTGGGGACACACCTGGGACACCAAAACACACCTGGGACACACCTGGGACACACCTGGGACACACCTGGGGACACACCTGGGACACACCTGGGGTACACCTGGGACACACCTGGGGACATTGAAACACACCTGGGGACATTGGGGACACCCCTGTGCAGGTGCAGAGACTGACCCGGAGACTGCAGAGGGAGCGCAGGTGACACCCCTGGGGTACCTGGGGACACCCCTGGGATACACCTGGGGACACACCTGGGACACACCTGGGGACACACCTGGGACACACCTGGGACACACCTGGGACACTGAAACACACCTGGGGACACACCTGGGACACACCTGGGACACACCTGGGGACATTGGGGACACCCCTGTGCAGGTGCAGAGACTGACCCGGAGACTGCAGAGGGAGCGCAGGTGACACACCTGGGGTACCTGGGGACACACCTGGGACACACCTGGGACACACCTGGGACACACCTGGGGACATTGGGGACACACCTGGGACACACCTGGGATACACCTGGGGACACACCTGGGACACACCTGGGACACACCTGGGACACACCTGGGGACATTGGGGACACACCTGGGGACACACCTGGGACACACCTGGGACATGGGACACACCTGGGACACACCTGGGACACACCTGGGACACACCTGGGACACTGAAACACACCTGGGGACACACCTGGGACACACCTGGGACACACCTGGGACACACCTGGGATACACCTGGGACACACCTGGGACACACCTGGGACACACCTGGGATACACCTGGGACACACCTGGGACATGGGACACACCTGGGACACACCTGGGGACACACCTGGGACACACCTGGGGACATTGGGGACACACCTGGGACACACCTGGGGACATTGGGGACACACCTGGGACACTGAAACACACCTGGGATACACCTGGGACACACCTGGGACACTGAAACACACCTGGGGACACACCTGGGGACACACCTGGGGACACACCTGGGACACACCTGGGGACATTGGGGGGACCCACTTGGGGACACACCTGGGGACATTGGGACACATTTGGGGACACCCCTGGGACTCACCTGGGACACACCTGGGACACACCTGGGGACACACCTGGGGACACACCTGGGACACACCTGGGACACTGAAACACACCTGGGGACACACCTGGGACATGGGGACACACCTGGAGACACCCCTGAGACTCACCTGGGGACATTGGGGACACCCCTGGGACACACCTGGGGACACACCTGGGACACTGAAACACACCTGGGACACACCTGGGGACACACCTGGGGACACTGGTATAGCAGGGGACACACCTGGGGACACTGAAACACACCTGGGACACACCTGGGGACATTGGGGACACACCTGGGACATGGGACACACCTGGGACACTGAAACACACCTGGGATACACCTGGGACACACCTGGGACATTGGGGACACCCCTGTGCAGGTGCAGAGACTGACCCGGAGACTGCAGAGGGAGCGCAGGTGACACACCTGGGACACACCTGGGATATACCTGGGACACACCTGGGACACACCTGGGGTACCTGGGGACACCCCTGGGGACACACCTGGGACACTGAGATACACCTGGGATATACCTGGGACACACCTGGGATACACCTGGGACACACCTGGGACACACCTGGGACACACCTGGGACATGGGACACACCTGGGACACACCTGGGGACATTGGGGACACACCTGGGACACACCTGGGACACACCTGGGACACACCTGGGGACACACCTGGGACACACCTGGGATACACCTGGGGACACTGAAACACACCTGGGATACACCTGGGACACACCTGGGACACACCTGGGACATGGGGACACACCTGGGACACACCTGGGGACATTGGGGACACACCTGGGACACACCTGGGGACACTGAAACACACCTGGGATACACCTGGGGACACACCTGGGGACACACCTGGGACACACCTGGGGACACACCTGGGACACACCTGGGATACACCTGGGGACATTGGGGACACACCTGGGGACACACCTGGGGACATTGGGGACACACCTGGGGACACACCTGGGACACACCTGGGACACACCTGGGACACACCTGGGACATTGGGGACACACCTGGGGACACACCTGGGGACACTGAAACACACCTGGGATACACCTGGGGACACACCTGGGGACACACCTGGGACACACCTGGGACACACCTGGGGACACACCTGGGACACACCTGGGACACACCTGGGGACATTGGGGACACACCTGGGACACACCTGGGACACACCTGGGACACACCTGGGACACACCTGGGACACACCTGGGACACACCGGGGACACACCTGGGACATGGGACACACCTGGGACACTGAAACACACCTGGGACACACCTGGGACACACCTGGGGACACACCTGGGACACACCTGGGATATACCTGGGGACACTGAAACACACCTGGGACACACCTGGGACACACCTGGGACACACCTGGGGACACACCTGGGACATGGGGACAACCCCACCTGGGGACACACCCTATTTGGGAGGACACCCCCCTGTTTGGGGGTCACGCCCCTTTTTGGGGGACACGCCCCTTTTTTGGGGTCCCCCCCGCAGGTTCCTGATGCAGGTCCTGGACGCTCACGGGGATCGGTACCGGCAGGGGCAGCTCACGGTGCTGCTGCAGGTCTGGGACCCCCCCCAAAATCCCTGAGACCCCCCTGAAACCCCCCCAAACCCCTGAGACCCCCCTGGGACCCCCCAAACCCCACAGACCCCCACAGACCCCACAGACCCCCAGACCCCACCCCTGCTCGGTACCGGCAGGGCAGCTCACGGTGCTGCTGCAGGTCTGGGACCCCCAAATCCCTGAGACCCCTGAAACCCCCCAAACCCCTGAGACCCCCAGGACCCCCCAAACCCCCTGAGACCCCACAGACCCCTCCAACCCCCCAAAATACCCCAAATACCCCCAAAGCCACCCAACCCCCAAAATACCCCAAAGTCCCCCAGAACACCCCCAAACCCCCATGACCCCATAAAACATCCCAAAGCCCCCCAAAACCCCCCACGACCCCCAAAACACCCCAAATACCCCCAAAACCCCCATGACCCCCAAAACATCCCAACCCCCAAACACCCCAAAACACCCCCAACCCCCAAAAACACCGCAAAGTCCCCTGTGACCCCCGACCCCCAAAACTGCCCATGACCCCTCAAGCATCCCCAGACCCTCCCCAACCTCCCCTCCCTCTAACCTCGCTGTGCCCCCAGGACAGGGGGTCCCCTCGGGGGTCCCGGCCAGCCCGCCCCGGAAACGCCGAGAACAGAACCCCCTCCCCCACCCCCTGCCCCTCCCCACCCCCAGCGCCCTCCCTCCCCCGGAGCCCCCAACCCCAAACGGCGCCGCAAGGACCCCGGGGGAGGGGCAGGGCAGGGGCAGAGGGGAGGGCAGGAGCCTCCAACCCTCCCTGGGAACCCCACAGGTACGGGGGAGGAGGATTTGGGGGTTTGGGGGGTTTGGAGGAGGGATTTAGGGGGTCCAAAGAGGAGGTTCAGGGGGTGATTTTAGGGGGTCCAAAGGGGAATTTGGGGGGATTTTTGGGGGTCCAGGGGGTTTGGGGGTCAGAGGATTGGGGGATTTTGGGGGTCCAGTGGGGTTTGGGAGGGTCAGGGGGATTGGGGGGCTGATTTTGGGGGTCCAGGGTGGTTTGGGGGTTGAATTTTGGGGTCAAAGTGGGTTTTTTTGGGGGTCTGGGAAGAGGTGGGGCCTGATTTGGGGGTCAGGGGTGATTTTGGGGTTGGGGGTGATTTTGGGGTCCAGGGGTGATTTTGGGGGTTGGGGGTGATTTTGGGGGTGGGGGTCTCACCTGTCCCCTCTCCCCCAGCCCAAAGGGGAGGAGTCATCTCTGGCCCTCTCCTCCTGGGCCCCCTGAGCCCCCTGAGAAGCTCCCTGAGGTTCCCCAAATTCTCCGACTTCGACTGAGGACGATTTTGGGGTGTCCCAAAATCCTGGGACCCCCTAAACACCCCTGAGACCCCCAAAATGCCTCCCCCAATAAAGAGTTTTGGTTCAACCCAAGGGTCGTGGGGTTTTTTTGGGGGGTCCCCAAATCCTGGAGATTCCTCCCCCCTCCCCCAAACCTCAGGGACCCCCAGACCCCAAAATCCCCCTTGGGGACCCCAAAATCCCAAATCCCCCCAGACCCCAAAATCCCCCTTGGGGACCCCAAAATCCCAAATTCCCCAAAGACCCCCCAAAAAAACCCCAAACCACAACCCCACTCCCAAACCCTTCATTTATTTTGGGGAGAAACCCCAATTTTGGGGCTCCCCTCATCCCACCCCCCCAACTCGTGGACTCCCAACCCCCCAAAGACCCCCCAAATTCCCCCAATCCCCCAAAAACCCAAAGCCACAACCCCACCTTGAACTCTTCATTTATTTTGGGGAGAAAAACCCAAATTTTGGGGCTCCCCCTCATCCCAGCGACCCTCCCAACTTGGGGACCCCCAAAGACCCCCCCTAAAGACCCCCAAAGACCCCCAAATCCCCCAAAAACCCACAAGCCACAACCCCACCCCAAACTCTTCATTTATTTTGGGAGAAAACCCAAATTTTGGGGCTCCCCTCATCCCAGCGACCCCCAACTCAGGGACCCCCAAACCCCCCCAAATTCCCCCAAACTCCAAATCCCCCAAAAAACCCCAAGCCACAACCCCACCTTGAACTCTTCATTTATTTTGGGGAGAAAACCCAATTTTGGGGCGACCCCTCATCCCAGCGACCCCCAACTCGGGGACCCCAAAGACCCCAAATCCCCCAAATTCCCCAAATCCCCTAAAGACCCCCAAAGACCCCAAATCCCCAAAAAAACCACCAAAGCCACAACCCCAACCCAAATTCTTTACTTATTTTGGGGAGAAAACCCAATTTTGGGGCTCCCCCTCATCCCAGCAACCCCCCAAGTCAGGGACCCCCAACCCTCCCCAAGACCCCCAAATTCCCCTAAAGATGCCCCCAAAGACCCCCAGAGACTCCCCCAACCCCCCCAAAAACCCCAAACCACAACCCCAACCCAAACTCTTCACTTATTTTGGGGAGAAAACCCAAATTTTGGGGCTTCCTCCCCCAACTCGAGGACCCCAAAGACCCCCAAATCCCCCAAGATTCCCCCAACCCCCCCAAAAAAACCCCAAGCCACAACCCCACCCCAAACCCTTCATTTATTTTGGGGAGAAACCCAAGTTTTGGGGCTCCCCCTCATCCCAGCGACCCCCAACTTGGGGACCCCCAAAGACCCCCAAATTCCCCCAAATCCCCCAAAGACCCCCCAAAAAAACCCCAAACCACAACCCCACCTTGAAATCTTCATTTATTTTGGGGAGAAAACCCCAATTTTGGGGCTGCCTCAAACTCCCCTTTTCCCCCAAAATAAAGAGTGGGGGAGGGAGGGGGTTTATTTTGGGAGGGGTCTCTCAGAGCTCCTTCAGCCACTGCAGGTTGGGCCCCTCTTTGTCGCAGGGGTGGGAAGGGACGTCCAGGAGGGTCCCGTCGTCCCTCAGGGGAACTTTGGGGGAAAAGAGCATTTTAGGGACTTTTATAGGGAAAAGGGGGTTTGGGGTATTTTTATTTTGGGAGAAA